TGTTGCTGCTGCTGCTGCTGCAGGCTTACGACCAAGAGCAGCGCCCAGCAGCTGCAGCGGTGTACTTGTACGAGGCTCTTGTCGCACGTTACATCCACCTGCAGCAGCAGCAGCAGCAGAAGCAGCAACAGCAGCAGAAGCAGCAGCAGCAGCTCGGATGCGACGCCGTTATAGGCTCAAGCACAGCAGAAGCAGCAGCAGCAGCAGCAGACGATGGCGGTGATGCAGATGCTGCTGCTTTTTTAGGCCGCCTGGCTGCTTCCTGCGGCTGGCCTCTCACGTGGCTGCAGCAGCTGCGTGCTGCTGCTGCTGCTGCAGGGAAGTCCTTCTGTGCAGCTGACAGGCAGCGCCGTGCTGCTGCTCTGCTGCAGCAGGTCGGTAATTACTAGGCCCTTAACGCTGCGCTGTTGCATTGCTTGCTGTTGGTGCTGCTGTTGTTGTTGCTGCTGCTGTTGCTGGTGCTGCCGCTGCTGCTTCGCTGCTGGTGCTTCGCTGCTTCAGCTCCTGCTGTTGCTGCTGCCGCTGCTGCTGCTTCTGCAGATGGGCCTGGACGCGCAGCTGCAGCCAATAACACCTGAAGGCTTCGCCCCGGACATTGCACTTCCACTGAAGCAGCAGCAGCAGCAGCAGCAGCAACAAGCCTTGGGAGCCCCTGAGGGGGGCCCCAGGGGCCTGGCGCTGCAGATTGAGGGCCCCAGCAGATGGGTACCGAACCCAAGCCTGAAGGGGCCCCCTGCTCTCTCTGTTGCAACAAGGTTGAAAAACAAGTGAGCTGCTGCTGCTGCTGCTGCTGCTGCTACTGGTGTCGCTGCTGTTGCATTTGGTGCCGCAGTAGCGACAGCCTGAGGATCTGTCCGTGTGTTGATGCATTCCAGCAACTGCCCTGCTGCTGCTGCTGCTGCTGCTGTTGCTGCAGGCTGCTCAAGGGCCTGGGCTGGCGCGTGGTCTCTGTGCCTTCTTGGCTGCTGCCGCTGAGGGGCTCAGCAGCAAGAGAGCAGCAGAACATTTTGTCTATTCTTCCCCCAGATGTGCAGCAAGCCATCAAGAAGCAGCAAGAGCGGCAGCAGCAAGAGTGGCAGCAGCAGCAAGAGCGGCAGCAGCAGCAAGAGCGGCAGCAGAAACTGGAGCAGCAGCAGCAGGAAAGACACGCTAGCGACAACAGAGGACCTAGCAGCAGCAGCAGCAGCAGCCAGCTGCTGCTAATGGAGGCACTTGCTAAAGCTGCAATGCACGGCGTCTTTAAAAGCAGCAGCAGTGGCAGCAGCAGCAGCGGCAGCAGCGACAGCAGCAGCAACAACAGCTGCAAACACTTCGAGGGATAGCTAGAAGAGGCATCGAAAGGGTTTCTCCTTTTATTTCCGTTTTTTTCTTTTTTATTTCTTGTCTTTTGCTGCTTTTATATTTCTAGCTATTTCTTTATCCTGCTTCTTTCCTGTGTGTTCCTTTTTGCTGCCACGCCCAAGCAGCAGCAGCAGCAGCTGCTGCTGCTGCAGTAGCAGCAGCAAAACGAAGGGATGAAGCGACAATGCCGTAGCAAAGTTTAGTTCCTAGGGGGGTCCCAGTGTGTAGCCAGGATCCTTTTGCTGCTGCAGCAGAAGCAGGATCCAAATTTGCTGCAGCAGCAAGTTGCTGCTGCAGCAGCAAGCGTGACGGCGCCAGCAGAGGAAGCGCCCTCTTCTGCAGCAGCAGCAGTAGCGGCTGCTGCTGGCAGCTGCAGCAGCTGCTGTTTATTTGTTCACGGGGACAAAAGGTCAGTCCACAGCAGCAGCAGCAGCAGCAGCAGCAGCAGCAGCTGCGGCAGCAACAGCAGCACCGTTTGCTGCTGCACCTACTGGGAAGCTTTTCAACGATATGCAATATTTACGAGTGGGAGGCCCCCCAGAAAGCTCTTGAGAGCCAGCTGAAGAAGCCCCCGCTGCTGCTGCTGCAGTTGCTGCTGCTGCTGCTGCTGCTGTGCGCAGGCTGCCCTGTGGGGCCCCCCGTGTCGCCCAGAGACTTGGGGCTTTCTGCTGCTGAAGGCAGAGACACTTCGCTGCGGGGGGAAGCAGCTTGTGCGCATGCAGCTTCACTAGATGCTGCTGCTGCTGCTGCTCCGGCTGCTGCTGCTGCGGTGGCCCCAGCAGGCAGCAGCAACGAGCTGTGGAGGGTCACTGGA